GTAGATATGACTTCTATGTAGATTTTAAAGTGAACACGAGCAGTTTCCGTGCTGTGCCCTACTTCTGATTTATGAGCGAGCATTTACACGTTGGTCCTGTTGTCTGGTCCATTTTGCCACATTAATCACTTTCTCAGTAGGAAAGCTCTTACTTGTTACCTCATGCCTTGGCCTTTTGGCTTACTTTAAGGTCCCGACAAACATCCGCTTTATTACTGGAGGGTACTTTAGGCTCTGCAGGTAATTTTCTGTGAAGCATGATTTAGCAGCTCTACTGGGCTGAGCTGACTTGTGTAGAAAGAAATGTGCTCCAGAGAAAATGGTAGTGCTGGATCTCTGTGAATTCTTGACTCTTTGAGGCATGCGCTCTCTTTCTCTCAGTCTCTCGCTCTCTCTCTCCCTTTCTGTGGCATCTCCTTTGACATGGTCCCTTTTCTCAGAGCCACTTAGTAGCTCTTTAGCAGACACCTACTTAACTTTAATTTAGGATAAGGTCGGAGACGGGTCCCTAAAGCCTTGCAGGTGTTTACTGGAGCAGAAGGCTGTCACCGCTTGAAAGAAGATAGTCGTTCCTGTGATGTTAGTTGCAATAGCTAGTTTTCCAATTCTGCATACGTGGATTTAATCAGTTAGGTCTAAGGAGAGTTTTTGCCCTTCCTTTAAAGCATTAGCTTGACCAAGGCAATTCTGTCCCCCCAGAGAATGTTTGGTAGGGTCTGGAGACATTGTTGGTTGTCACATCGAGGGGCGGAGCTAGAGGCATCTAGGGGGTAGAGGCCAGGAATTCTGCTAGACACCCCACAATGCACAGGAGAGCTCCCACCACAAGCACATTCTCCAGTCTGAAATGTCAGTCATGCTGAGGTTGAGCAGTCCTGATCTAGAACAGAAGTTTCTAAACCTGGCTGCCCATAAGAATCTCTTGTGAGCTTTAAAATCCTAATGCTCAGATGCCCTCTAGAGCAAATAGAATAGGGTCATTGGCTAGGACTGGCTATGCAATTGTAGCCCAGTGCAAAATGAAAACATGGAGACCCTCATTCAAAAATTAGTAAGAATTTAAAGGGATGACAGGAGAGCATTATACTGAGGGCAGGGTCTTCTGAGTGTGGGGCCCTGTGTGCCCACTCTATTCCTTCACACATGAAGCTGATGGTGTTCTGGGGGATGACCTGGTCATTGGTAGTTTTAAAAGCTCTCAAAGTGGGCCAATGACTTTAACAGACCCCTTGTGAAACGAAATATACAGATCACAAATGTGCATATGCAAAGATGTTCCACATCCCATATTATCCGGAAAATGAGAATGAAAACAGCAATGAGATACCATGATACCCCTCTGAGAATGGCCAAAATCCAGAACACTGACAACACCAAATGCTGGTGAAGATGTGCAGTGAGGAAGCCTCACTCGGTGCTGGTGGGAATGCAAGAATGAAGAGCCACCATGGAAGACAGCTGGGCAGTTTCTTATGAAACTAAACACTCGGGGTGCCTGGGTGGCTCAGTGGGTTAAGCCTCTGCCTTTGGCTCAGGTCATGATCTCAGGGTCCTGGGATTGAGCCCTGCATCGGGCTCTCTGCTCAGCAGGGAGTCTGCTTCCCCCTCTCTCTCTGCCTGCCTCTCTGCCTACTTGTGATCTCTCTCTGTGTGTCAGATAAATAAATAAAATCTTAAAAAAAAAATTAAAAACCAAAACCAAAACCAAAAAACCCTGAACACTTTTGTCATATATCCAGTAGTCATGCTCCCTGGTATCTGTCTAAAGATGGTAAAACACTACATCCACATAAAAACCTGCACACAGATGTTTATAGCAGCTTAATTCATATTTGCCAAAACCTGGAATCAACCAAGATGACTTTTGTAGGTGAATGGAAAAATACACCTTGGTACATCAATGGAGTATTACTTAGGTAATGGAATATTATTCAGCACTCTAAAGAAATGAGCAATTGAGCTGTGAAAAGACAGGGAAGAACCTTGAACTTATATATTACTAAGTGAAAGAAGCCAGTGTGAAAAGGCTACGTACTCTATCATTCCACCATGTGACATTTTGAAAAAGGTAGAACCATAGATGATGGTAGAAAGATGAGTTGTTGCTTCGGATTGGGGGAGGGAGGGATGAGGAGAGCATGGAGGATTTTAGGTCAGTGCCACTACTCTGTATCATGCTATAATGGTGGACACATGTCATTATACATTTGTCCAAATCCATACGGTATACAACACCGAGATGGTAATGTAAACTGTGGACTTTGGATAATCACAATGTGTCACCATAGGCTCACCAACGTAACATACATGCCAATTCCAGTGGGGGATGTTGATAATGGGGGAGGCTATTGTGTGGGGGCAGGGAATATATGGGAAATCTCTGTAACTTACACTTAATTTTGTTGAGGAAAGAAAACTGCTCTAAAATATAAGTTGATTAGAAAACCAAACTCTCCAGGTGATTTCAGTGCGCAGCCAGTGCAGAGCACTGTTCTCCATCATTTACTGCCTAGATCCTTCCCCAGACGGTCAGTGTGTATGTAAGTACTGGCCCATGTGTGACTCATCTTTGTATCTGGACACAGAGCCTTACAATTAGGAGATAATCAATGAACATGGCCTTTATCATCCATTATAAGCTTATATGTGTCCAGGTCACTCTGTTTTCCCACAGGCTTTGGCATTCATGATCTAGTTTGCTCTTCACATCTGTCACGTGGTTGCAGAACAGGTGTTAGGACATGAGCCTGAGATGAGGAAACCACTGTAGAGAGGGTGAATGATCGGCCCAAGTCACACCCCACGAGGGGCAGCAGGACAGAACCTCCAGGTTTTCAGGTCAGGGCCACGTCCTGCATGTTACGGTAGGTACCCCCTCACTTATATTCCGGGTTTCCAAAGCACGGCGCAAGTGCCACTTGGCGGCCTGTGGCAGGAAGCCAGTAGCCCAGGGGTAAGCTTTAAAACAAAATCTGTATATTTACTTCTTTGAAGCATTAGGGGGGAAAAAATAATGAGCACGTCAAGTCCGTGGCTTGTATTACTGCTGCAGAAATGGTTATATTCAAATTTTTAAAGTGAGTTGATTTAAAGAAAAAATATTAAATAATAGCAGAGTGTGCAGCAGGTGTGGAGCTGTGACAAAGCCGCGAATTACCTACGTGGATGACTGAAATGCGAGAAATGTTGCTTTAAATCTCAGTAGTTTTTAATGAGAATAGAGTGAAATCGTGTGAAAGAGCTTTGTATTCATAGACAAAGCAGTCAAATTACAACTGTTGCCTTTGTGACCCCTGCTCCTTGAAACTTGCCCCTCCTGTGTTTGGCCATTTTTCTCCAAACTAAGTCTTGGCCTGTTACTGGGCTGGGAGAGGTGAGGAGTGCTTGGCCGTGACTGCCAAGTGACTGCGTGTGGTTGAAAAAAAAAAAAGAGAGAAAAATAGGTAAAGTGAAATCTATAGTTCTCTTCTTTGTGGCTTAGTTTTCCTGTTTATTCTAGATCTATCAAATCCTAAAATGAGTTCCCAGATTATCTAAAACCAAGTGATTAGGAATTTTATAACAATAACAAATCCCTTCTCTGTCCGGGGTATATTCCAAGTATATAGACCTGTGCCGTGGAACTCTTTGCATCCTTTAAATATGCCGAAGGATGTACATTCGTTGGCACATACAGATATCTGTGTTAAATGATAGAAATCAGGTTTCCGTAGAGTAAGCATAGGATATATTTATATAAGAAAGAAAAAGAAAAGGAAGCATTGCTGAAATGATTGACCCCCCTGGGTGATGGGAATGGGTTCATTTTTTTAACTTGTAACTTCTCTGTCGCTTTTCGTTTTTCTGTGAGGGGCCTAGATTCCAAACTCAAGGAATAATAAGCAAATTTTGAACATGCTTGTATGCAAAATGTACTTAATTCTGCTATGGTCAAGCTCTACTTCTCTGGTGCCCTCAGCTACATGGTTTGTAGGTATAACGGGATGCAGATTTCATGAATAAGGCATTGTGGCTGAAGCCAACAGCCGGAGGGGAGACAAGTGAAGCTCTGGGTATAAAGGGATCTTTTAAAGCCTGAAGTCTTGTGCACGAAAAGGATTTTGAGCTGAACTGGGAGGGTGAAGGACAGGACAGGCACTGAGCAGCAAGGCTCTCTTTTGGTGCTGGTGGCTGGGAGAGGTCGGGGCAGGTGAAGGGCTTGGGGGGAGGGGGTGATTCCTATTGAATTACATCCCAGCTAATTTCCTGGCCACTCCAGAGAAGCTTGGCTTTTCCCTGAACCCACCTTGCCCTCCCTGGGTTTTAGGATGGAGATCTTTGTGAAAATATCACAGAAGCATCTTTGATTTGCGGTTTGGGGTGGATCTGTTTGCTTTCTCACCCTCTCTCCTGTTTGTTTCTGTGGAATCATATCTTACTTAATTCTCTGATTATTTTTTTCAATGGCCCATTCTACTTTCTGCTTGTTAGAGGTTGTATATCTCCTGGGCTAGAAATCTTTTTGAGAGGAATTTAAGAGGGAGTGGGGCAGAAGGCTTTCTTCCCTAGTGATTTTTTTTTTTTTAACTTTAAGCAATGGATAGAAAATATGTATTCACTTGCATAAACAAAGATTTGGGAAGATAACCATGGGCTACTGAGAATATTGATTTCTGAGAAGGAGGCCTGTAGCTGGATGGGGATAGAGGAGGTTTGCCTTTCATCTGTATATTTCAAATATTTTTTTCCAAAAAAGTTATTTGCCTGTTACTTATATTACTTGTACTCTAGATAAAAATGCATACAATAAAATATGAAGCAAGCACAGTAGACTTGGATATTTACATCGAAACTCTGAAAGTCTCTCTGTTTGTATGTGTGTATGTGGTGGGTGGGAGGTAGTCAGGAATATAGTAAAGGAAAATGTTAGCTCAAATTTTCATTGCCTTAATATAGAGACTGTAAAAAATACCAAAACATTGACACTCTGGTTGTGTACTTGAGAATCCAAACACACTCACCTGCGAAAGTCTATCATCCTCTGAGACATCCTTACACCACTGCAAATACCCAACCTCACTTCGGGTCAGGACTCCATGTAGTATTTCCTGCGACTCTCCCCTCTGATAGCCATTGAAGACATTTGGGCTGGCTCTTCCGGTCAGAATCATGTTCAAAACTGCCTAGATGATATAGTTTGCAAATGTTTACATTTTAGGTAGCGACGACAGAAGGACTGAATTTCTTTTTTCTTTTAATAATCACTAAAAAATTTTACCAGTTTTACTTAAAAGAATGAAATGACATATCTAATTAAGGAAAAACACGTCACGGACATTTGGTAGGGTTTAAGCAGAACTTTAGTGACTTTGTTTCTTCAGCCATACCCCAGAGATCCTCACGCGCCCCACTCGGATCTCTTTGCCCTCCTTCCCTTTCCATTTCTTTTAGACTCTGCTTTCCATAGTTGTGATTTAAGAAGCAGTGCATGAAGCTGTTGTTATACTACTTTTCTTTCCATTACTAGGGATTCCTGGTGGGCTTTGTCAAGGTATTTTCTAACAGGTCTGTAGAATCTCAGGGATGTGGGGCTCTCAGAGGTAAACTGGGAAGACCGTGGTGGAAATTGGAAAGTAGACTCTGATAACAAACTCAGGGGAGCATCTTCTTAGTCTTTCAAAGATAACTCGATTACTCATCACTTCAGGAGAGACTATGCTTAATTGGGGGAAAAAAAAAAAAGCCTATTTCAGATTCTACAACAGAAAGGCAAAGCCTCCCAACCTACCTGCCTGCACAGGAAGCTCCCAGCACTCTGTTGTAGCAGATGAGAGGTGGAAGCATCCAGGTCCTTCTGAAGCCTGCAGAATGCGAGGCGCCGTCAGCCTTCGGTCAGAGACAACGACTGCAGCAGCAACCTGCAGCCTCTCCTTCCTCCACCTCCCGGCACAAAGCAGCGGTTGAGTGAGTTTGCCTGGTCGCTGTCCCTCCCGTGTGCCTCGCACCTTCTCGTCTCTCACTGGAAAAGCCTCTGGGATGGAGGCTGCGGAGGTGATGGGGAAAAGCTACGGATGCAGCTGGGGGAAGCTGCTGATAAGGGGTAAGGGAGAAGGCTGAAGTGACAGATTCATACGTGTGTGTGCTCTGTGTGGGTGCTGGACGCAGTGGTGAAACTGTTTTCTCTGAGTGACAAGGCACGCGTGGCTTAGGACAGTGACACATGACCACTCCAGAGGGTGCTGGCCTAAGACTGAGTTGAACAGACTGTTCAAGTGAAAAATACCAGTTTGGGGGTGAAGCCCATTTCCTGACTGTTTCACCGGGAAGCAGGGGTGGTGGTCCTACCCTGGACCGTGTGAAGCCAAGGTGGAATGGGGCTCCAGCTCTCTCGGGAGAGGTGCTGAGTACTGGTGTGTGAGCTGTCATGTGTTCTTGAAGGAACCTATTCACAGGACTGGAGGTCACATGCTTCTGTGAATGGAACTGAAAACTTCAGTCAAGCACCATGAGTGCCTTGGTGGCATCAGATATAATTCAGGGCAGCATTGCCCAAAGCATGGCGTGATTTAAAAAATGAATGAATATATATACATATATATATGTATATATATTCACCCACTGGGTGGCTCAGTGGGTTAAGCCTCTGCCTTCGGCTCAGGTCATGATCTCAGGGTCTTGGGATCGAGCCCTTCGTTGGGCTCTCTGCTAAGCAGGGAGCCTGCTTCCCCACCTCTCTCTGCCTGCCTCTCTGCCTCCTTGTGATCTCTCTCTCTGTGTCAAATAAATAAATAAATAAATAAATAAAAGGATATGGATGTTTAGGAAGAAGTTAATATCTAAATATGTGATTTAAAGTAAGCTGTTAAGCAAATAATAATACAGACCACAAAAATATGATGACATTGTGCAAAAGGCAAGTGTTAGGAATGCGGCTTTCGGGCATTCCTAAATGCCCGAAGAGGAAGAGTTACAAGGAGGAAGAGTTACAAGAAGGCTCTTCCTCCCAGGAGGCTCTCTATCTCTCTTTGACTCTCAAGAGGTTACCTTCCTTTCAGAGCCCAGAAGAAAGTCCACTTCTTCTAAGAAGCCTTCCTTGACTAGACTGTCAGCTGGGGACCCTTCCTCCTCTAGAAACCCCTACGACTCCTTGTCTTTACACCTCACTTGGTACATGAATTACCACCTGCGCCACGCTCAGTATCTCTGTGTATACATCTTGTCTTTCCCAGAGCAGACCCTGCAGGTCAGGCCATCTCTTTTTTTATTCGTTATTTCCCATGGTGCCAAGAACAGGGCTTTGCATATCACAGAGACAAAATAAATATCTGTGAATATATTTTCTTGTGTCTATAAATCATAAAACAGTTTTATCATGACAATTATGCAAATATGCTTTGGAGTTATCTGTCCATCTTTATAACCACCAGAAGAAGGAAGCCACCACTGTCCTAGAAAAGCAGAATCAAACCTTCCTGATGATATCTACTCACTCGTTATTATGGCCAAACCGACTATAGGAAAGGATGAAGCAACAGAAGAGCATTGATTAGAAAAAAACTGTACTCATGTTTCCAACAGGGCATGAAAATATTTTCCAATGCAAGAGGACATCACTTACGTGATTGCAGAGCAATAGGAAATGCCCGTGCAGATATTCATTGAATTTACCTTTCAAATGTTCTGGAGAAGATGAGGCTGTAAAGAAACAAGATGACACCATGGCTTCCTTCCCCTTTGAACTGTTTGGGGAGGGGGGGACAAAAGAAAAAAAAAGCATGTTTGGCTAAAAGCAATGCACCTATGTATATCTCTAGGCATGTATTCAAGGATTTATACCCAAGAAGCTAGAAAAGCTGCTAATAGGACAGTTTCCCTGGGTCATCTTCACTCTCGAACGCATCCTTCCTCGTTTCAGGCACTGTAGTTCTCTTGCTTTTCGACCTCTTTTTATTTCCTCCATATCTATCACGTGGCTGTCTTTGAATTCTGGCTCAGGTGTAGTATATCTTTTTTTTTTTTTTTCCAGCGTCCATCCTTAGCCCAGGCCCTCTGTGTGCTCTTGGCTGGCGCCCTTCCCAGCCTCTCCCTGGTTGGGGCATCCCTCCCTCCTCATTGCCCCAGGGGAGCAGAGATGCTTTATAGAAATAGCTTTGGAGTTACACAGATCTAGGTTCAAAACAGTTCTACTCTCACTCCCAGTTACTGACATGCTTGAGTTTCACTCTCCTCATCTACAATTGCAGATAAAGTACAGATTTGTTGCAAAAGTTAAATGGCATCTTGCACAAGCCTTCGTGCTTGGAACACTCAAGAACCAAGCACAATTAGTATCCGTCCCTCTTTAAGGCACTTCTCCCCTGTCTCTTCTCTGGCTCAGGTTATTTTTTCTGCTCACAAGTTTCCAAAGGTGCCCCGTGATCTCCAGGATCAAATCCAAATTGCCCAGGCCACATTCAGGTAGTAGGCCTGAGCTTTATGTCAATTCTCTGCCTGCTGAAAACTAGCACCTTGGCTGCCTTTCAAGGTTCCCAGGGTTAAAACCTCTCCTTTAAAGGCACTGTATCAGGAAGGCTTCCACTAAAATGCAGGTGGTTTCCCTTTTATGGATTAATTTGTCCCCTTCACGCTCTGTGAACTGGAAGAGGCAGGACCCTCAGGCGGAACAAATTCCAGTGCCATAGGAGCCAGACAGGAACCCAAATGGGTTCCTGCAGAGTGTGAGAGAAATGGGGGAAGGTGGGTCCTGAGGCAAACCGGGATGCTGGCCTATCAGTTTCCTATTACTTCCTATTACTGCCGTAACAAATCACCACAGACTTGGTGGCGCAAAACAACCCAAATTCATTGTCTTAAGGTCTCATAGTCTGGGAAGCTCAACATGAGTGTCACTTCTTGAGTTTGATTTCAAACTGGCCAGGCTGTGTTTCTTCTGCAGGCTTTATGGGCCATGCCGTTCACTTCCTTTTCCAGCTGCTGCTTCTTCTTCTTTTTTTTTTTAGATTTTTATTTATTTATTTAAATGAGAGAGAAAGAGAACCTGAGTCGGGAGGAGGAGCAGAGAGAGGAGGAGATTCCCCGGTAAGCAGGGAGTGACGCCAGGCCCAATTCCAGGACTCCAGGGTCACGACCTATGCTGAAGGCAGAGGCTTAACCAACTGAGCTACCCAGGCGCCCCCCTTTTTCCAGTTTCTAGAAGCTGTCCTTATCCATGGCTCATGATCCTACATTGTGACCAAAGATGGTCCCTCTTCTCTCTGCTTCTCCCCTCACACCTCTTTCTTTCTCCTAACATCTACTTTCCCCAATAAGCCTCTTCTTATTAATTGGGCCCACCAGGAAAATTCAGGATAATCCCCCTATTTTAAGATCTTCAACTTAGGGGCACCTGGGTGCCACAGTGGGTTAGGGCCTCTGCCTTCAGCTTGGGTTGTGGTCCCGGAGTCCTGGGATCGAGCCCCACGTCAGGCTCTCTGCTCGGCGGGGAGCCTACTTCCCCTCAGCCCCCTCTCTCTGCCTGCCTCTCTGCCTACTTGTGATCTCTGTCAAATAAATAAATAAAATCTTTAAAAAAAAAAACAAACGGTCTTCAACTCAATCACATCTGCAAAGCCCTTTGACCTGGTAGGTGGCATCAACAAGTTTCTCACAACTTCTCCAAGGGGAGTCGGGCCCCCATGTCAGCTAATTTGAGGACATGCTAGAAGATAGGGCTAATGCAGTCAGATTTTCTGATTTGGGGGGAAAAGCTAAAAAATCTGGGTTTTTATGTGGAATTTCCTGATTGTTTTTGACAGTTGCTAAGTCAAATTTTTTAAAATACAACACGGTGTGGGCTACTGCTGGCGATAGCATATGATGGGTATATTCGTTTACTGTTGTAACAAATTGCCAGAAATCTGAAGGGCTTAAAACAATAGGAATTTGTTCTGACACAGTTACGGAAGCCGGACATCTGAGATCAAGGTGTCAGAGCATGGCCACGCTCTCGCTGAGGGCCACAGGGAGGGATCCTTCCTGGCATCTTGGAGTTTCTGGTGGAATGTGGTGACTTGTCGGCTCATCACTCCGGTCTGTCTGCCTGCTTTATCCCATGGTGTTCTCCCTGCATGTCTGTGTCTGTGTCCACATTGCCCTTTTCTTCTTCTAAAGATACCAGTCCCTGGAGTAGAGCCGAGCCTAATCCAGCATGCCTCCTTCTTCACTTGATTACATTTGCGAAGACCTCCTTTCCGAATAAGATCACCTCCACAAGCACTGGGGGTTAGGACTTGTCCATATCTTCTTGGGGGATGAAATTCAGCCCATTACAATAGGTCTTGCTATCCACACGTAGCTCTCAGAGCTCCATCTTGAGATTTCTGTCTCAAGGTGGGACGCAGGAATGGGACATGGGACTGGTGCATCTTCAATGGGATTTGGTAATGGTCTCGGGTGGGGGTTCATTGTAATGGGCAGTCCCTGGTTGGGGATGCCCTTGAGTGAAGCATCAAGCATGGGGCCAACGCTGCCCCGGGGAGGCTGTGGTGACAGCACAGGTCTGTCTGACCCGGGAAGCCCTGCTGTGCCACGCTCGCCCACGCCATGCGGTCTGCGCCTGCTTTGGGCCCGTATTGCTGATCCTGGCTTGACTCTCAGTCTTTAGTGTGCATAGCTCTGACCCTCTGATTCTCCACTCTGGCTGCACTGAGGAAGCCCTTGCAGATGTGGGGGCCCTTCCTAGTGAATCAGACTACCCCAGGCCTGAGTGCAGCACACAGAAGACAAAGAAGAAAGGGCTTGCCTCTCTTTGCTGGAAGGCACCTTTCTTACATGGTCCACTCTCTCTGAGTCACCCCGTCAAACCTCTCCTGCCCACAACAGAGTCCCTAAGCCGGCTTCTAACTTAATATTCCATGTCAGATATTAAAATCTATCATCTATCATGTGGGTTTCTTAGTTTTTATATTGAGGCTGCCACAAATAACCGTAAATTTAGTAGTTTAAATAATACAAATTTTGAAACTCCTATAACACTGTACGTTAACTATGCTGGAATTAAAATTAAACACTTAATAAAATATAATACAAACTTATTGTCTTACAGTTCTGGAGGTCAACACTCCAAAATGGGTCTAACTGAGCCAAAATTGAGATGTCAGCAGGCCTGCTAGGGGCTCAGGGAGAGAATCTGTTTCCGTGTCTCTTACAGCTGCTGGTGGCCCTGTCCCCCCATCCCCCATTTGCAGCTTCAAAGGCAGCAAAGGCAGGTGGTACTGCTCTCCCATCACACCCTCTGACTTCAGCTTCTGTCTTCTTCCGTATTTCAGGGCCCTTGTGATTACATCGGGCCCACCTGGGTAATCCAGAGAACCCACCCTATTTTAAAGCATTGGGTCATGGAATGGAATTGTTGAATCACGGTGTTGTGCACCTGAAGCTAATATAATGTGGAATGTCACCTACACTTAGATAACAAAAATTTTAAAAAATGAAAAAATTAAGTCATCTGATTAGCCACCTTAATCCCCCTTTTCTCTGAAGGTTCCAAGGGGAAGGGTATGGACATCTTTGTGCGGGGTGGGGAAGGGGGACTTTCTTCTGCCGGCCACACAGACCTATGAGATGGCGGGGGAGGTAGGCCTCAGGTAACCCGCCTAATCAAGATCGTATGGCCAATGTGTGGCTGAGAACTCATGCTGGAGCTTTCTGCCTTTATTGCCTTCGGAAGGAACAGAGCAGTGAGTTTCATGGAACACATTTCCCCCTTCTGTATAATCCATACTTGCATGGCTTCTGCTAACTGTCCTCTTTTACCCCTTAGGGTTCTGATTCTTTAGATACGCAGCATTCATTCCTTTCCCTGCAAAGGAATCTTAGATTTTCCACCAACACTGTCCTGTTCTGGGACGTGGGCAAGAGCCATGGCCACCAGAAGGACACTGTGTGGAAGGTGCTGGTAGAACAGATGAAACGGGGCCACGTCTCTCAGACCAGAAGTCCTTTCCTTGGAGTCACTGTGAATGGTCATTTTGGCAACTTAGACTAGGGCCTTCGTTGTTGAGCGTTTTTATGTTTTATCCATTAGATGAGGCAAGACTGCTTTGACATATTCTCTTTCCACAAAAGAAATCTTGGCATATGCCCTCTATAGTATTATTCTCTGGGTTTGATTAGTCAGGGACAAAGAAGCAATTGTGAGTGGCCTGTGTGTGAGCTGGCCTCTTTTTAGGTTGTGGGGAGAGAGAGGCGGGCTTCTCTTTCTCTCATTCAGCCCTTTCTTAGCTTTCAAAATGACCTGGTTTTCTTAATAAGCATCATTAGAAATACACTTTGGAAAAGAAAGAAGATTCCTGTAAGATCAGTTCAACATAAAGGAATTATCTCAACACTTAAGCACTTACACATTGTAAATGATCATAGATGAATCTCTCAGTGGCTTCTTTCTCTGAAAGTTCAAACAGCTGGAGCTATAAATCAGGAATAGAAGATAAAAATGAAAAGGAAGATGAAAGCTACATCCATACGATGTCAACTTACTGTTATTTCCTCAAGGGAACTTTTTGTTTCATTGCAGAGTCACACAGCTAAAACTAGCCATATTCTCTTATACAAGGCCATGTAAAACAGACATAGTGAGAGTGGATGGCCTGGCCTCACTTTTCCATTCCTTAGTTTTAAACCAATATGATATCTTGGGCCATAAGACCATAAACATATTTTTTTCCTAATAGGTAGAACTCAGCAAAGTTTAAGATAGTGGTTACGGAAATCCCATCTATAATGATTTCAGGCATGGGATTTTTTTTTTTAAGATTTTATTTATTTGTTTGACAGAGATCATAAGTAGGCTGAGAGGCAGGCAGAGAGAGAAGAGGAAGCAGGCTCCCCGCTGAGCAGAGAGCCTATGCGGGGCTCAATCCCAGGACCCTGAGATCGTGACCTAAGCCGAAGGCAGAGGCTTTAAACCACTGAGCCACCCAGGCGCCCCAGGCATGGGATATTTTTGATTGTGGTGAATTCTGGAAGGAAAAATTCACAGCAGGATTCTCTCCTAAGGCTGCCTGAATCACTTACATCCCTTGGTCCCTACCTTCTTTGGAAGATGCCTTTGACCACATTGGACTCTTCGAGGAGCATGGATGAGGCCTCGTCTTCATTTCCATGTTAAATCTAGTACCCTCTTAGGCTTCATTGGCCCTTTATTTGGCAGAAAGGGCGGGGTGCACTTACCCGCTCTGTGAAATCATCTCCCGAGTAGTCAGGAGTCGAGAGGACATAAGTGTCCTCAGTGACAAGACAGACGGTGGCCTTCTCAGCGGCTCCCGCCATCCACAGGATGCCAGCCAGTGCTGTAGCCAGGCCTTGGTCCTGCTCCCGTTTGCTTACTGCACATAAACTACAGCACAGGAATTTGGGTAGGAAAACAGGAGCATGAACAGTCACCAAGCCGAATGCGAGAAGTCTCCACCTTGAAGTCCCCTTCTGAACCCCAGGTGGGTCTGTTTAGTTCCTTCCTCAACCTACCCCGTGAGAATGTCACAGAGGACCTGTTTTTACTCTATCACAGGAACTGGCATCCTCACATATTATTTCTCTTCATGATCTTAGCCAGTGCTGCCCTGTGAGTCATCACCCCTCTTGAATCCCCACCGATGTCCCCTCCCCTGAACTCCAGCAGAGACTGAGCCAAACTTCTTACCCCAATAACAGGCCCTTTGCGAGGGTGACCCTAAACAATCCTCGCAGTGTTACTTCCCAGCATTATTTTGCAAACCCCCTGGCCCACAGGACCAGTGCCCTGAACACACTTCCTACATTCCACCTTCGTGCCTTTGCGTGCCCTAGTGCACCTTTAATGGGCTGTTCTTATCTGTCCTCCCCACGACTCTCTGGAGACTCACCTTATGTCACCCTCACTGACTTGTAGCTTAGGCTCACCTGCCACTCACTCCCCCCAGCATTATTCTAAGTGTTTCACACATGTCACCTCATTTCATCCTCACTTCAACCTTGTGAAGTAGTTAGTACTCTTCCTCGCATTTTAGAGGAGAAGAAAGAAAAAGAGGTTGAATGATTGGCCCCTGGTCTTTCACCTTGAAAGTGGTAGAGCAGTGACCTGAAATCAGGCGGCCTTGCTCCTACTCCCTGCTCTTCACCACAATAGTCTAGGGAGCTATCCCAGGCTGTCAACATTTCCCGGGAAATGGGAGCCAGTCTTTATGTGGTAGACCTTTACTAGCCTGGCTTTCTAAACGTTTAACACAGACAACTGTTAGAGAAACACGTGATAGGGGTTCACGAATGAACTCAGCCATGGTATCTATCATTCTTCTAGCCCTGTGATGATACAGAAACGAGTTCCAAGGAGTTTCATACTCCAAAACTCTAGTCTGAGGAAGTGGATGAGAATAAAACAAAGTGCTATGACCGTGCAGGAGAAGGAGACAGGACTTGTGACCAAGAAGGTTCAGGAAGTCTTCGTGGGGCAGGTCTATGAGACGGTTTCTCGTTACCACATAGTTAATATTTGCTGCACGCCAGGTCCTGCGCTAAGTGCTTTATGGGTGTAGCAAGTGTGTGTGTGTTTCATCTAGATTCCTTGAGGTCCCTCTACTTAGTTGGTAGACAACTCCCCCAGCTGATTTGGGGGACTGCTACTCGTGGCTCCTACTTTTCAACTTTCTCTGAAGAGTTGGAGCCACCTTGCCCGGGAGTGATTACGAGTTTGGCCTGCCTTTTGAGGCATGGTTCAAAGCCAGTGGCCAGGTGGGAAGCACAAAGGCCCATTTCCTTCTTTGAAGATGGGGCAGCTGAGGTTGCAGAGCTCCCAGGGGATCAGACGGAGGCTGGATATCGCTGCAGACCACATTCTTCTGCTTCTCCTTCCCTTTCCTGCTTCCCTCTTACAGTTCCTGAGGGCCGAAGGGGAGCGATTCTTGCCACTCCAACATATGCCTCTTTGGCATACTGATTATTTTAAACTGGTTATTTAAAAACAAAAACAAAATCAAACTATAGACTCAAGGGAAGTTCTGAAACTCAGAAGCTAGCTTTTCGTAAAAGACATTTTAAGGGAAATCTCCATTTTTGAGGGTGTTTCCCTCACTGGAGGAGGGGGATGGCTCTAAATCTTTAGAAACTCCTATCAGTAGAGAATGCACAGATGTAAATCTACAAAACAACTTTACCCTTGTTTACTGTGCTTTTCCTGGTAACCTCCCATAACAGAATCCCCACCCCCAACACCTTCTTTGGTCTTTCACTAAAGATGGTATTTAAGGCGATGCCTTTGGCTATGCCTTTGGTATTTAAGGTGATGCCTTTGGTTACTCAATTTTCTTGGGTTTCTCCTAGGTATATAGGATATATACATGTTATTAAACTTCTGTTTGTTTTTCTCCTGTTAATCTCTCTAATGTCAGGTTAATTATTAGACCAGCCAAAGAAGCTAGAAGAGTAAAAGAACCTTTTTCCTCTCCAACAGGACATTCCCTTCACAAATCACTTGTATAAAGAATTTCCACCTCTTGTTCTGTCAGGAAACTGCATTTCATGATCTTAGAAAAACTATACATTTAGTTCCTGTTTTGAGGGATAACTTATCCTGCTGAGGGTAGATATATACCTTTTACTTGTTTATATTTCTTCTAATATCAAGCATAGAGCTTTGCACATGATGAGGTTTGTTGAATTCTAAGTAAAGCCATTTGAACTGATTTTCTTAAATAGGCAACTACCAAAAACTGTACTTCGCCAGCCTGGTGAAATAGGAGAATTAATCCTTCATTTATCAGGGCTTTTTAGAAAGCAACCCTTTTGTTCCTCCTTGAAAGTGTTAGTTTGGGGTTTCCCATGTCAAATATTGTCAAGTAAGCCCACCTGAGACCAAGTGCACCGCTTTCCTTGACAAGAGGATCTGCCACGGAGCATAAGAACCGTCAGCATTATCCTGGCAGCCATCGAGAGTGGTTCCAGGAGAGTCCTCCCCAGCCACCAAATCCAGTCCCTCCGGGAGAACCAGAGCCATTTTGGTTTTGTGAGATAAGTTCCCTTCCCGAGGCCAGCCAAGGAATTTTCCATAGTGACTATTTGGCACACAAAGGTTCTCGTGAGATGGTTAATTCTCTCAAGTAGTTCTACTTACCTGTGAAGGTTACAGTCTTTTTCCTCCCTTGTAAACAACAAGTGTTTGATGATGGATCCTTGTACAGCCATCTGAATGCTTCGGGCACCTCCCTGAAACGGGGAAGATGAATAGTGAGGCATGTGAGGGTTGGGAGCAGGGCTTTACAATTGTGCTGGAACCACATGGGGCCAACATTACAAAGGAGAACTCTTGGAAATGGATGCCATCTATTCCTTGCAGCCCTTTTCCTCCTGGTATACAGCATCTCTCCGCTGAGCGAAGGGACACCGTACTATGTACGTGGGCTCTGGCAAATGCCATGGCTGGACCAAAATCTGCAACAACCACCTTCTTTGTGCAACCCTGTAGACTGGCACCTGGGGACATGTGTCCTCCTCCACCCTACCTCTGCCATGCTCCCGCTTCCTATCCAGCTTTTAGACTTGGAAAATGTCAGGAACTTTTTGGCTAGTCCTTGAAATTCTGTGTGACTGGTAATTGATGACATGAATTACTGAGATTTTAAACAAGCCAGGAAGGAGCTCCTGGATCTCCTGCCTTCACATCCTCAGGGATACATAGAACTTGGAGAGAAGAGCCAGGAAAACTAGAATTGGGGAGGGCAGGGTGTATGGGGGTGAGGCATGGAGGGAAGGAGGTCGAGACTTTGCTATATCCTGACACTGAACTATAATTTTAAACAGTCTCTTATCATTTAAGGTTAAATTTTAAATTATATGAAACATGCGTCTACAAATGATTATAATGAAAACATATATTCTTATGGATGTGACTAGAAGGAAATATGGATAGGGAATATGGAATTAGAATATTTAAAAATTTTTGCCTATTATTACCTTTCCTACTTCCAAAGCAAAAGCCAGGTCAGAAAAAGGATCATGGAAATGGAAATAGGCCTTTTTCCAGTCATAGCTGAAGACTTGCGTGGCATTTCCAAAGATGGTCTGCCGTAACTTCTGAGGAGAGGGGAAATAAAGGATTCAAACAAAGATAATTCTTCTTAGACACATTGCTTATCAAATAGCCTTAAGTAAGGTGGTAAACCTGTGGAGGTAGGCCTGTCCCTTTCCTACATTCTGGTTTACATTTTATCTTATTCCCTGTCTTAACTGCAGAGTCTTGTGCAAAAGAGTCACACCAGGTTCACTTAGACTATTTTTTTTAAAGAGTTTATTTATTTACTTGAGAGAGAGAGAACAGTGGGGAGAAGAGCCAAGGGAGAGGGAAAAGCAGACTCCCTGTTGGGAGGGAGTGCAATGTGGAACTCAATCCCACGACCCTGAGATTATGACCCTGAGATTATGGGGCCACTTACCTGACTGAGCCACCCAGGCACCCCTAGACTCTTTCATCCTGAAGGCTCAGTGTGTCAACTTTGCACCTTGTTGTCCCCATCTGTCTCACCCTCCATTGCCAGCCATCTCTCCTTCATGACTTGCAGTCCACCATGGGCAGCTGCTCTGCCTCTGTGCCTCTTGTCCCTATCTACAGCCTTGATTCTGCAGCCCCTACCTCTCCCATCTTTGAGTCTTTCTCTCTTGCTCTAGGAACAAGAAACAGACAGGACTCCATGTTTCTAGCCTGAGTGCAATATTGATTTAAATGATACTAAGCAAGCATTCTCTGTTCTTGTGCCCCAAAATCTTTAAGGTTTTCCTGGACACTCTATAGCATGTCGAGATTGGAGAGGGTCTTCTAGAGCTTTCCAGAAAAAAAATAAGCCTTTATAAGCCAAACACATGAAAAAAAAAAGGGAATGCATTCATAATCAGGGCCATGTTCATTATTTAGCATGTGATTGGTCTTATGTGGGATATAGATATGTAAAAAGTCCAATATCCCACAACTATGTAGAAGATAGAATGTGTGAAGTTCTGTAGGTACAAAGTAGCTTGAGAGAACAGAAGAAGGAGATCTTCTGACTGGAGCACTCAAGAAGGCTTCCTGGAAGAGGTAGTATTTGAACTGGACCAGCAAATGGCATCTAGCATTTATTGAGCATTTTCTATGCACCAGGCACTGGCCTGAGTGCTTTATGTTCATTATATTTGTTTAATTCTTTGAGGTAAGTACTCTTATTCCCTTTCACCAAGAAGTATTTGACTAAGTTACCCGGCTGGTAGAAACAGCTGGGCTTTGAGTCCATTCCAACATCACTATTCTGCCTCCCCACCTTTGATTGGGTATCATCCTATGATTGCTCTCCTTTTTGGTTGCCAATCATTATTAAATTGATATCTTTAATTAGCTTGACCTACTCTTTTATAACTTAGAAAATATGTATTTAATAAGGACACTTCATATCACATCTTTTTTTTTTTTAAAGATTTTATTTATTTATTTGACAGACAGAGATCACAAGTAGGCAGAGAGGCAGGCAGAGAGAGGAGGAAGGAAGCAGATTCCCTGCTGAGCAGAGAGCCCGATGTGGGGCTCGATCCCAGGACCCTGGGATCATGACCTGAGCCGAAGGCAGAGGCTTAACCCACTGAGCCACCCAGGCGCCCCTCATATCACATCTTTAAGTGGAATCAAAATCATTTGCCATATAGAAAAAAATAATGGAAATAAAACAATGTTATTGACTTAGGCTAGAAACCGTTGCCTATGAAATGCCTGAGCTCACATTCTTTTTAATTAGAAAAGGAAGTCGGAAGTGTTAAAGAGGTGTCAACATGTGTACCCCTTACAGAGTCTTTCTCCAGGGGTCTCCCAGAGTGAAGAAGGAGCTAGTTTTCCCACAAAGTGACTCAGTCTATTTAATGTGTTACTTAATGACACATCACTAAAAACACTCATGCTCCAGCAGAGTCACATATCACACACTTTGGGACAGATCACACAGTGGCCTATTGCCTATAATGGAGGGGAGGCTAGGTGGAGAAGATCCGCAAACACACACACACACACACACACTCACACACACACGTCAAGTACCCAGAGCATCCAGGGAGAGGAGACGTTGTGACGTGTGCCTGTGTATGCATGTATGTGTGTGTTCCAGAACCATGGGGCTGGAAGTCTATGCAAGTTGAGACTGGAAAGTACCACAGGGTGGATCCTGGAAGCCTTGGATATCACATTCATACATTCACAGACTGCTGAAGAGTGTGGACAAAAAGAACAGGCAGTCATTAGGTCCAGAGCCCGATGGTTTCTAAGAGGACAGATGCAGGAGAGGAATGGTTTTCCCCTTGTTGGACCACGATCTGGTTCTGGAGCTGGAGTTTAATTCCTGGCTGTCACTGCTCCCACCATCAAAAGAAAAGACCATCTCTACAAAGAAATAGAGGCAGGTGCATTTTGGGGTGAGCAAGGGCCCAGGAGTTCACTTGAAGAAAAGTGCTGTTGCCCTGGTGTTTCAGGGCAACAGCAAGTCAAGGAGAGGGAGCCAAAGGGCATAGAGGCTGCCCTTGGAAAACACAGACTCAGTGTGCCCCATGGCTAATGGGCCACCAACCCAGGACATCCGAGGAGAGGCCTGAAAATGAATCCAAGTGCTTCCCTGACATCAGGGCATCACAGACAGAAGGAAGACTGAGCCCTCCCAACTCCAGGCTTGAGAGCCCATTTCCACCGCTCACTGACCATGTGCACTTGGACAGACTGCCCATCCTTGCTAAGATTTTCTTTGCTTATCCTGAAATGCAGATAATCCTTGCTCAGTCCACATTATGACTATTATTGAAAAGGAAGAAGTATGGACAAAGGCTTTAGGAACCACCGTGAGTGCTGAGTAAATGCAGGGTGTTACTCTCTCTGTGAACACACAGCCTGTCTCCACTGGAATGCTGTAGGGAAGAAAGTTCCCTCACAGATGAGAAAAGAGCCGAGCCTGGCAGGAGGAGGAGAGGGGAAGCCATGGATAAATGTGGGAGATGAAGACTGTTGGCACTAAGAAGGCTTAGAACTCAAATTCAATTACTAAAACTCTGCAAACCAAACCAAACCAAACCCTTGTTTCTGTTGCTGGGTACGACTTCCAGCGTGGGGAGTGTGCCTGTCCAGATACACCTCGGGCAGGTCTCGAACAGAGGAGCCGTGGGCCACTCAGGCCAGACCCACTGGCCCTCGTCACAGTAAAGGTGACTCATCTTACCTCTATAACATTTCCCTTCATAGCATATCTAACTTATCACAAGATTAACCTGGTGTATTCAATGACAGGCTTATGTCATTGTGTGCCTGGTAAGTAGACACAAATGGCAAATGGTCCTAATAAATGACTCTAGTGATCATTACTATTTAACACAATCGAGCATGGTTTACAGTTTCTCTCTTTTCACTTTGTGAGTTTTCGAGGATTTGTAATGAGTACCTCTCTCTCCTGATTGCTGTGATGAGGATAATGATGAGGATCATTATCTCGCACGCTCACACACACACTCACATATACACACTCACACACATACACGTTCACACATACACACACGCAGAAAAACACAGAGGTCCTGATCATTCTTCCCAATACATTTAATTTCCTTGCCCTGACTGTCTTGATTCTGGTCCCTGGGCTTAGATTTTCCTTGTGGCAACCTTGACCATGCAGATGGGAGCATCTCTACACTGGCCCCTGCCCCCAACGTGAGTTAAAATAGCTCTTTTTGAAGCTTCTTTTCTAAATCTTGTCTTGCCTTAGAAACTACCAGCTCATCACGGAATCAGAGATTTTAAAATTAGTGAGTCCTAAGAAACATCTTTCTCCTAGCCTGTCAAACAGAGTGGTAGAGTAGACTCTTGGCTTGATCATGTCCAACATGGATCCCTCAGCATTTGGTATAGAGACTGGTACATAACAGGTTCACAATAAGCATTTGCTGAATTTTTTAAAAAAATCTAATTTGGGGGGCTCCTGGGTGGCTCAGTGGGTTAAAGCCTCTGCCTTCAGCTCAGGTCATGATCTCAGGGTCCTGGGATCGAGCCCCGCATCAGGTTCTCTCTGCTCAGCAGGGAGCCTGCTTCCCCCTCTCTCTCTGCCTGCCTCTCTACTTGTGATCTCTCTCTGTCAAAATAAATAAATAAAATCTTTAAAAAAAAAAATCTAATTTGGCCCTTCCATTCTACAATTAAAAAGTTTGGGGTACACAGCAGCTATGTATGTGCCCAAGGTCAGGTATTTTGTAAATGGCAACTCCAGGACCCCAGTGCAAGCCTCCCGACTTGTACCAGTAAGAATCCCAGCAGGCAACAGATGGCATGCTTAAGTCAGGGTGATTAACTTGAGGAAAGTTGAAGACAGGGACTGTCTACAAAGATGTGGGCTGCGTGTGGGGAAAACACAGTAACTAACGCAGTGTCCCACCGCTAGCAGCACTATCTGCCCTAGACCTGAAGAGTGTCGGGGGCTGGGGAGAGTGACCTGAACCAGGAAGGAGAAAGTCCTGGGGCGAGAACTGCCACAAGAGAAGAGGAATTCAGCTGGCTACACAGAGGTTTCTCTCTCCCTTTCCTCCCTCCAGACTCCCTGTGGGGGGCTCCCGTTGGTTAAACTCAGTAGGAAGCCAGAGGAGGAGGGAGCCCTGTTGATGGAGTCCCTCCAGGTCAATTTTGGCAGAAAGCAGGGTGGAGAAGGGTAGAGAGGGCACCTGAGGAGCACACGGTTGATACTCGCTGCCCCATACTGAGATGCCTCTGTGGGAAATTGTCCAGAGCAGTGAATTAATCAAGCAAACATCCCCTGAGTTTCATCTATTGACCAGACTTTATGCTGGAGCACCAGGCTGTGCTTCCCACTTCCAAAAAGCCACCCCCTTGCCTGTTATCCTCCATGGAAGCTTCATTTGTCTGGGTCTCCACCAGAATATGTTGATCTCCCAGTGTTACATTTTTAATACGATTGTGCTGGGTGGTATTGCAAACACACCAGGGGTTGGTTTATTGGCTGCTGACAAAAGAGGCTACAAGAATGTCTCCCAGGCTGGGTTCTGGAGAAGGGCCTGGTTGTGGAGGAGGATGGGAAAGTGCCCTGGAGCGAAGCAGTTTTGCGGGGAGGGGCAGAGAGATGCTGGCGGAAGAGCACAAGGAAGGATGCTCATGTTCTCTATAATCCTACCTGGCCCGGCTGCCTTGGCCATCAGTCATTATACCCCAGGCACTGTGAGATGTTTGGTTGGGGGAAGGAAGAAAGCTGTCGTGTTGGAAATGGGTCAACAAAAGGTGAGAAACAGGAGAGCTGGGGAGAGAGAAGGTTCACCTCCACTCCTTTCTTAGCAGATTCCCAGCTATGCGTGCTAAAGTCAGGAAGTCCCAGGCAACCCCACCCCAAACAGGGATGGGAAAAGAGAGAGAATGACAACAAAAGGCACTCTCCAGTGAGTATTAGGATTCAATAGCTCTGATAATTTGCCAGGAGGCTGCACCACCAAAACGTCGATTAGAATTGGTCAAGCTTCCAAACCACCTCCCTAGAACACACGTATTCAGAATCCCAAGGCTCAGCATCTCGAAATCCCAGGGTGTGTTTAATTAATGCTATTGCTATTTAAAGGACACACTATCATCTGGCCCGCATAATGGGAATAAGTCCAAAAATTTTTTTTTCAAGAAGAAAATCAATTATCTCCACTTCTGGGACTTCCTTAACACTCCATCAACTCCGGTTCAGGCTAGAGTGGTCTGATTCTTTTGTCCCCCAGGCTTTTCCAAAAGGAGGAGAATTACCTTGGAAAAGTCATGGGGGAGGTGTGCAATCACACCATGTTTGTGTTTGGTAGATAAGTGGGGGAATTCAGACTCAGCCTCTCTTGCTTCCACAATATAAAGAGAGACTAGAAGACTTTGGAAACATCTGCGAATCCTTTTTTTTTTTTTTTCTGTTTTTAAAATGTCTATGTGTGTTTTTAAAAATAGATTACACGTTCACATGGTTCCAAATCCAGAGAGTACAAAAAGGTACATTGAGAGAAGACTCCCTCCCACCTGCATCTCCTGCCCCACTCTTTCCCTCCACTGTTACATTCTTTGAAGGCTTCTGGAATTTCTGTAAGCATATACGGGCCAATACTGATATAGATCCCTGGTCTTTCTCTTTTCTCATAGAAAAGGTAGTCTAATTTCCAGATGCTTGTAAATTCAAAAATGACGGTCTCCATAGAAATTCATTACAGAGCCAGGAAGACATTCTAATTAAAGATGGTTTGTCAAAAACATTATCTTTTCTGGTAAAATACAGATAGGTGCTCTAACTTCTGGTTCTATGGCACAGCATAGGCTGAATAATCACTAACGCTGGAGATTTGGACAGGATCCCACGTTCATTGCCTATCTTCATTCCCTGAAAGGCGAGCCACTCACTAGATACCTAAGACATGAGTTAAGGCACCATCTGGGGCTGTGAGGTCCATAAGCAGGTACAGCATCTCATGAGGGCCTGGCTGATCTATCTTCCTGTGACATCTGGTCTTCGAACAGCAGAGGGAAGGTGGATTAAGGCAGAAAGGTTTTTGATAATGAGAAAGAACGATGGGCCTCCCAGTCCGTTTGTACTGTAAATATGACAGGAAAGAGAGTTGCTCTGTGAAGCCAGTGAGGGTATGCATGATGAAAAGGACTGTGGGGGCTTGGTCCCTACACGAGATGATGTCGTATCTGAGGACCATAAGGAAAGGCTGTATCCAGGGTTGGAAATACTGCAGTCAGAGCCAGCTCAAAAAGCAGGTGGAGACTGTGTGGTTTGCCCAGCAGAGGTTCCAAGCCCCACTCATCCCTCTCAGCTGGGACCCTGTGTGCAGTGCACGGACTGTGGAACTGTATGTACATGACAGGCCTGCTACAACCAGCAAGTGTTACTAGTTTTTGCCCAGGTGACCAGGTGACCAGGCTCATCCTGGGTGCTTTCTGCAAGCTTGCCCAGGTATAGGGCAGGATGTCCTCAGGAAGAAGTGCTTCTTCCAATTCTTGTTTTTAGGGTCCCCAGGAAAAGTGTCTGCCCAAGGCTTTAGGATATAGCGTGCAAGTTCAAGGGTCAGGGTGAAGGTCCTGAGAAGAAATTGTCCCGAGTCTCACTATGGTTGAGAGAAATATCTTGGAGGCAATCCAGTTGAAGGGATCCCTCACTCTAGCTGGTCCTTTCCCCCTGGCTTGACCCAGGGCTTAGCCTCCCCAGTTCCCAATCATGCCTCTTTGACCTTGACAGTTGGGCTTTCGGACCATTGCCAAGGTATTGGCTCCAGCCCTGGCCTGTTTGACCCAATGAGATACTGCTAATTCACCTCGTAGCTGGGTCTCTGCCTCAGCCCTCTGCCCCCACCCATCAAGTGTGGAATTGAGCAAATGGTGCCCAGGACCAGGAGCTTCCAGATCCACTTGAATAACTTCAGTGTCAGGTTCTTTTCACATCTGCCTGCTCGTTGGCAGCCCCAGAAAACATTTCCTGAGATCAGCTCCTTGCCCCAGGACCAGGCCTGGCCGAGGTGCCCTGCCTCTCCCTGCCCCTGCCAGCGAGGACAGAGCCTGCCTCACACAGCGACATGGCTTCCTGCGCGGTTGTTGGCAGCACTCGTCACCTGCCCTATCTTACCTTATATAGTGATTTATTTGAACTTAACTCCCTCACTCCCTCAAAGTTAATTGGCAGACCAAGGAAGTGAATAGAGACACTCTCTGAGTTTGGGGGCGGGGGAGATTGTAACATCACCGATGTCCTTGAAAAATAGCATAAATAAGTCATTTTAATTATAGTCTCCTTTTACCAATAACCACCGTCTGTAGTCTTATCTTCGATAATACTCTCCCGTGACAGCAGATAAGATTCCCCAGCCTTGTTGTTTGGAGAAGATTACGTTTCCTTTCATGTTTAATTGACAAGCTATACTTACCGTGGCCATTGCTAGGGAGATGGGAAAGCCTCCTGATTTTGAAGAGATGATAGGGGGTTTGGGGATAGAACAAAGGCTACTTGATGGCAAATATCCTTGTCCTTTGGGCTGAGGTATTCCCGTTTCAGCTTCAGTTTCATCAGCAGGTGGATGGTTGCCTTCGTGATTCTGTGTAAAATACCACCACCAAAAAACAAACCAAACAGAGCTGGTGATGTGCTTTCCCCCTCTTCTCTCTTTCTCTCTGAAACAGCAGTGTTCAGAAAATATTGTCTCCCTTTTACAGACATCAGAAAATAGTGATAAATAGCAGTAAAAGAGGCAGAAAAACCCTACTGTCTGTGTCAAAGGGGTTTTTTGTAAGTTCTATGTGACTGGGAGAGGTTAAATGTAACTATGGAAACATAATTAATGCTATCAAGACATTGACTTGAAATTATGTTTAGAGAAGAATGTAAATGTCACTGTCTCTTGTTTTGAGAAGACAACAATTTATAAACAATGAATCCTTCCAGTCTATACGAGGTGGTCCTCCCCGTGTTGTTCCCTGGCCACTAAATAAAGTCAGATTACCTCTTTTTAATTCTCTCGGATTCCTGCTCCCTAATAAGTGAGTTATGATTTTTTTTCTTTAAAAAATCCATCTCCTACCTTTAAGGGAAAGAAAATATTTTTGGCTTTTCTTGACAGATTCTTATGGCGTTTAAATATGTTAACATCAGGTCTACTTTCATTAATGTCGTGAAACAAATCTGCCCTGTCGGTAGCTGAAACCTGAAGGAAACGGCCTTCTTTTCTGGATTCCTAGAGGCTAAGATGCTTTCTTATCTCAAACACAGCATCCAAATTGCAGACGACTGTTGGGGTATGAGACATTCTGTAAATCAAATGGAAAATCTTTGCATTTGTAGTGATGGGTTTCCCTCTTTTTGTATAAAGCGTAACTTGACATTTATTTATTTATTTTTCCCTTCAAAGATTGTTTTATCTTTTGAATATTCTAGTCACCCAAATGGTAGCTATTTCCACTTAATACTTCCAGGACTAAAATGGAAGCATTATCTCCCTGATTCTAATTTAGACTATGGTTACGAAAATTTTAGCACAAATAAAGCTTCTGATGACAGGTTACTTGGAGGTAGTTGCTTTAGCGTTACAGTTAAAATATTAATAATTCAGTTGTTTGATCATATCATATATTGGTGCCAGGAAAATCCCCTTCCTATTGTGCACTGTGTTTGTTCAGAGATTGAATTAATATCTGAAATACCAAGTTCGTTACCTTGTAACCTTTCCAGGTTACAGGAGATAAAAAAACATCTTTCATCTTCTATCGTATAACAGATTTTAAAATACCTAGTAACACCTGAATTCAGTCACCTTTGCCTTATTTGAAAATGATGAAGGAAAACAGTTTTTCAGAAGCTGAATAAAGATGATAGCGACTTTCAAAATTACTTTTCTTCAGCAACACTGAAACACTTGGATGTCAGAATCTAGTGTTATTTCACAAGTGTAAGAACCTTAGATTCTAATATTACTTTTTTCTAAAATAATAACCATATGGCGCTCTTAATGATGAAAAGTACTTAAAAGTAGGAAGAGATTTTTATGAAAAAGGAAAGCACAAGACAAGATTTCAACGAGCTTTCTAGTTTTATGTGTTCACACATTAAATGCCGGGTGCCTAAGTAACATTATGTGCATAGAATAAATACAGATTATGCCATTAATGTGATTGTTGGAAGAAGCAACTAGAAGAAAACACATTGGCTTCGAGAAAAGTAATTACCTGAAGAGTTGTATTATTGGTTCCCAACCTATAAATGAAAGAGAAAACATCAAGTAAATGACTTACTCTATCCAACCCTCAAACCCCCTCAAACCCAATCTTGCTAGCGAAGACTCTCTCCACAAATGGTTATTCCTGAAGCATCTTAAATGTCAGCCTATAATGGGGACTTCTCATGTAGTGAGCATAAAACACCTGAAATCCCTCTGGTTCTAGAGAAACGAGAAAACAAGGACATCATACCTGTGACAACTGAAGATTTGCCGCCATTTGTCAAGAAATGAAATTTTCTTGGTTATCTCTTCCAAATCCAGCTCCCAGGAGCATTGCTCCTGGTCTGAGACTTGCATAGTCCTTTGGGGAATATGGGGAAATTAAGAAGGGAGTTGTTAGGTTGGGAGAGAGAGGTCGGGTGGTAGGGAAGCGAGACGCTGGCTCTGTGGGCTTGGTCAGCTGGAGGGCCGGCCCGACTTGTGACCAACGAACGATGAGAGGACACCACACTGTCGCTGCTCTGGGCTCTCTGTAAGCCCCTGCTATCAGATCATGACTCAACTTTCATCAGAGGTGGAATACTTTGTGTATTATTGTTCCCTGTATAGATATCATGAATGTTTAATCCAAGATGCAGATTTATAAACGAAGGATTGCAATTACTTCTCTGTATCAGAACAATTGAGATAATTTAATTGATGAAGGATACCATCCCGGTGGAATGTGATAGTACTTTAAGCTGCCATGCCTCTGTGGAAACGTTTGTTTCTGCAGAAAGACATAGCCAAAGGGGGCGGGGGCAGGGGTAAACACCATCCTGTTGATATCTAAAAAGTGTGTCAACTACTGTTGGATCATATGGAGGCCAAGGAAGAAACTGGCCAACAGATGTCTGACACAGAGTTTAGTACACAGAAATCTTGCACACAGTTTGAAGGACTGATTTGATTTTGTTTCAGGGAGAGGCCCCAAATTATGTCATGTCCTATTCGCTGAAGGAAATGTAGCCACAACAGCTGGCATAATAAAGAATATTCATTGCTTAATGGTTAATTTTATGTGTCTTCTTGTGAGGTTACAGAAACCAGTTTTTGGTCAAACACCAATCCCAATGTTGCTGTGAAGGTTTTTTTGTTTTTTGGTTTTTTGGATGTGACTAACATTTAAATGGTAGGTTTTGAGGAAAGTGGGTTATACTCCAAAATGTGTTTGCACCTCAACAAATCACCTGATGGCCTTAAGGGAAGAGACTCAGGTCTCCTGAGGAAGAAGGACTCTGTCTCTAATCGGCCTTCATATTCAAGAGTGCAGTGTTCACTCTTCTCTGAGTCTCCCCGCAAGGGAAGTGCCCTGCACATTTCAGACTTGTCCTCCTTCACAATCACGTGAGCCAGTTCCTTACAATAAAGATCTCTCTCTCTCTTTCTCTTTCTCAAAGAGAAAAATGACCTCCTTAGGGTCAATTCTGATATTCAACCAAATCCGAAGAGACAAGAAAACTCTGAATACCAGAATTGACCCTAAGGAGGTCATTTTTCTCTTTGAACATTTCTGATCAAGAGTTCTGTAAAATTCTGAGAATGCTGAGAAGTCAAGGCAAAGAGGCGACCTGGATTTATTATGACTAGTGTGGTTGGGACTGAGGGGATTGGTTTTATGTAATACAGCAGAGACCCCGAAACATAGCAAGTCACTAGATAGACCACAGGTGGATTTAGGTGTCCATGGTTTTGCTTTGGACTTCTCTACCTTCAGTTTCTTAAATGAACTTCTGGTGGTTGTAGAACCATTTCATATTCACAAGCTTCACATATTCACAAACTTCCATCAGATTTCATATTTTTATTGTAAACGTAATGGGCACAAATAATTCCTTTCTTACTTCCCTTCTCTAACCATAAATCCTCTTTTTTAAAGCCTTATTGTCCCCCTTTTATAATTTTATAGTTTTAATAGTGGCATCAGTATTTAACATCTACTGGGCACTCCCAGTATAGGAAAAAAATTATGTGATCCTTGCTCTTAAATAATATAATGATGATAAATGTCTTGGATTTTGCTATTTAGAAAGTCATGTTAAAAAATAAGTTCTGGGGACGCCTGGGTGGCTCAGTTGGTTAAGCAGCTGCCTTCAGCTCAGGTCATGATCCCAGCGTCCTGGGATCGAGTCCCACATCGGGCCCCTTGCTCGGCGGGGAGCCTGCTTCTCCCTCTGCCTCTGCCTGCCATTCTGTCTGCCTGTGTTCGCTCTCTCTCCCTCTCTCTCTGACAAATAAATAAAATCTTAAAAAAAAAAAAAGTTCTGCATCTCCCATTTAAATTGTTTAACGACTCCAAACCAAGAAAGGAGAATAGCTAAGAAAACCTTTTTCTTTATCTTTTTTGCTTAAATTTAAATTCAATTAATTAACATATAATGTATTATTGGGTTTCAGGGGTACAGGTCTGTGATTCATCAGCCTTATATAATACCCAGTGCTCATTACTACACGTCTTCCCCAAAGTCCATCACCCAGTTACCCCCTTCCTCCAGCCCCTCCCCGCCAGCAACCCTCAGTTTGTTTCCTATGATTTAGAGTCTCTTGGGTTTGTCTCCTTCTCTGCTTTCGTCTTGTTTCATTTTTTCCTCTCTTCCCCTATGAGCCTCTGCCTTGTTTCTTAAATGTCACATATCAGTGAGATCATAAGAAAGCCCTTTCCTTAAGAATCATTAAATCTGCGTTTTTTTGTTTGTTTGTGTCTCTGTCCTTCTTTTCAGACAATTCTATAAAGGTAGAAGCATAAATCCCAGAGAACAGACAACTTAACCAGTAAACTGTTCTGTTGGGTTTAATAAACACATTTTGAGTATTTCCTGTGTCCCAGGCACTTGGAAGAGCCAAGGTGAGTAAGATGAGGTTCCTGCTCTCTCTAGTGGTGGAAACAGACACAGAGAGAGAGAAAAATGCTGTGTACACAGGCTCAGCAGGCTATGGGTGCCCAAGACATAGGCAGGAAAGCCGACTGGGTAACAATGTGGCCTTTGGGCCCAGACGGCTTAGTTTTGAAGCATGGCTTCACCTCTTGGAACTGTATGGCTTTTGGACAAGTTATTTAACCTCTCCATGCCTCAGTTTATTCATCTGTGAAGTGGGGATACTTTCATATTTTTACCATATAAAGACTTCTAATCTCTGAGAACAGTATGCCACTTCACTTGTTTAGACCTGACTTATCTTCCCGTTGTTTGATCCCCTGAAGTGGCATGCCTGAATCCAACGATATGGTCATTTCAAAGACTTCTGATACATATTCCAAACTTTCTTCATTGTTGGTGAGCATCCCTTGCTCAGCCCTCTTATTCCTTTCACTCTCAAGTTGGAATTCATGGTTCTGCTCTTTTAAATAAAGCACTGTCTTTATTTCCTTACCATTCTCTCCCTTTTTGGTTGGATATTGATAAGGGCTCTATAGATGGAAAGGGCTGGCCTTTGGAATACACCAAGAGTCCAGAATGTGATTCAGCCACATCCAGAGGAAACCACGCCGCCTCTTAGGCCCTTTTGTCAAGACTCAGAGCAGGAGGCCTGAGTGTAAGAAGTGGGGTAGAAAGGAAAGATGGGATGGGGGATCCTGGGCCAGGTTGGAAGAACAGGGCAGGAGAAATATGTGGAATCGGGGATTGTCCTTTTCTACATTCTTAGGCTCTTGCTCCTACCTCATGGCATGTGAAGTCACCTAAAGCTCTTGCTCCCAGGCCTTCCCTGCTGAGGCAAAGGTTGGCGCTGATTATGGAGTCTTGGGCAATAGTAGGTCTGCAGCAGCTCAAGGCAAGAGCAAGAACAGAGCAGGGACAGTGGAGGAGGGGGAAGACTTTATGGCCATGTAGTGGGGGTAGTGGGTGATGGTAGAGGGTCCGAAATCATTCACCCATGAAGGAAGTGTACTAAGTAAGTGCAGAAACCTGTGTCTTAATCTATTTGCTTTCTTTGTTGATAAATTTGAAAAATAATACCAGTGATTTCATGAGAAAAGCTAGGATCTATTCCAACCTTGGAAATTAGTATATAAAAATGCAATGTGGTTAACATTTGCTGTGGTTTCCCAGAAAGCTATGATTGATCTTTACAATCCTTTACTCAATCAGCATTAGAGTCAAATTTGAAAACCTTGGGCTTGCAAGCATTTTGACTAGCTTGCAAAATGATCCCCAACCTTTCTCGTTGCTGTTCTCTTATGATGATGCTTCATAAACAGAAATCCAGAAGTAAAATTTTAGAAACTTCTGACTTTTTTTTTTTAAACAGAATCTCGTTAGTGTTTAATTAACCTTACCCTTGGAGAGCTCTTCCTTAGGATTAAGTTAAATCCTTTGTGCTTTGATTATCATTCATTTTCTTTAGTTCTACTTTCTGTGGAGATGGAAATTTCCTGATGACATTCCTTACTGAAAGAATTCTGCCAATCCCCTGGAAACTAGAAGATGGCTGATATCTTCTCTTTTTGTTCTCGGGTGATGAGATGAGGAGGAGAAAGAGGGTGTTAGGCCCAGTGTCAAATGCCAGGGCCCTCCCAGTGACTTGGTAACCTTGGAAAAGTTAGTCTCTCTGAACTTCATTTGCTGTGGCTCTTTGGCTTAATTCATAGAATCATAATGAATATGACTTATGTGAAAATTCCTAATCTTTAACCAATGTTTTCTTGCCTCCTGTATGTTAAAAACTCTCCTGTAAATGTTTTATCTTTTCATGGCTTTATGTATTTTGAGAGTCACATCATGAGCCTCATGGAGCCAGAAGTCCAAGTCCTAAAGTGAGAAAATGCAGATGTTGGTCCCAACTAGTCCCTCAGTCCATGTGGGCTTTGGTTTGTCACTTAGTCACTCATGTGGGGCCCAGTCCTCATCTGGAAGACCTAAAAGACCAGTGTGGTATAATGGGAAATACATATTTAGTTGTTGTCCCTGGTTACTGGTGTTATGCCCGAGTTTTCATGTCCGAGAGACCACCAAGGAGCCAAGCACTGATGCAATCACACGAGGGGTTATTGACAAGATTAAGCTTGGGCCCAAGTATACCTGACACAGCAGAGTAGGGACTTGGACCCCAAGCTTAGTTAAGGCAGGAGTATTTATGGGTTCCTGTTACTAAAGCAGGGTTGGGGGGTGGGTCTCTGGAACCAAAGCAGGGTGGGGTTTACTAAAGCAGGGTGGGGGAAAGTTCAGCCCTTGGGCACAGGGGTCTGAGATGGCTGCCGGAGCTAAGATGGCTGTACTTATGCTAAGGCTAAACCTGAGG